ATATATATATATATATACACACACACATATATATATAGATATATACATATATATATACGTATATATACTATGTATATATATATCTATATGTATATATACTATGTATACATATATCTATATGTATATATACTATGTATACATATATCTATATGTTATATATATACATATATATATATATATACATATATCTATATGTATATGTATATGCATGAATGCACAATATATTGAAAAAAATGTTTGTAACACTATATTTTGCATTGCATGCATGCATATATATATATATGTATATGTATATGCATGTATATATATTTGTGTGTGTGTGTGTGTGTGTGTATATATATATATCTATGTATATTATATATATATATATATATATATATATATAGCTTGACTTAACACACACACACACACACACACACACACACACACACACACACACACACACACACACACACACACACACACACACACACACAGATAAATACACAAAAACATACATACATACATGATTAATCTTCCAATTTTAATATATATTAAATGGTTAAAAGATAAAAAAAATGATTCTAGTGTGTTCAACTTGGTATTTATTAGTTTTTCATTTCTTTGTTCAATTTGGCTCAAATTCAAACGAGTCGGCAACAAGATGTTCACAAACAGTTTCAAACAGTAAATGAAATAAATAAAAATTCGTATGAGCCAAATATAAACACATATAGGAAGCCCACTCAAATTAGGCTCATTTGCACCTAGTCAATTAATACAAAACTTTAATATCTAAATATTTTAACTATTGTAAATTTCCTGCAGTATTCTTATGTATTTTACAGGTAGACAGGCATGCAGAAATTGTTAAATCAGAGAACTTGAGCTTTTTCGTCATGCTTTCCTAATTCAACAGGAAACTGTGAAACAAAGCGGGACAAACAAAACCATACAAAGTTCACAACATGGAAAATAAAATAAATAAAGGCATGAGAGCTTCACATTGCTTTCCAAATAGTAGCTCATCTCATGCAATAATTGGAACAATGATAAAGGTACGCTGAAAAAGGCAGATTTCATGTTAATAAACAAGAAATAAACAACCACGAGATTGAATGTAAACAATAGAAATAAACTTAGATCACTAATTTAAATTAAATTTTAATAAAATTAAAAGCACTTACAAAGAACTTGATGAGCAGTCAGCCGCTGTTTCGAATCCCTAACAAGCATTTTTCTTATCAAATCTTTTGCGCTCTCTGAGATACCAGGCCACGGGTCTGACACAAAATCTAGCTCACCTCTCAATACTTGTTCAAATATTCCTCGTTCGGTTTCTGATTTGCATGAGAATGATGTAAATTGTGGAATTTGAAATGGAAACATCCTTAACTTTCGGCCACCTTTCATGGAATACTTATAATGAGCATTAACAAGAATTCTTACCATCCCAAAATGGTGGAACACCACTCAATAAAATGTAAACAATAACTCCAGCACTCCAAATATCTGCCTCTGGACCATACTGTTTTCTAAGTACTTCTGGTGCAACATAGTAGGGGCTTCCAACGACATCTGAAAAAGTTTCTCCTGAAGAATAATAGAGTTCAAATAATGAAAATCTACTTTAAAGTAGATCAAACTATACAATAAATTTGCTAGTGAGAAGGCTTAATCGATCATCCAAATAACAGCAGGATCTTTGTAAAAAGAGTTTTTTCAAAAGCTAGTAGAAAAAAATTAATGACTATAACAGAAAGTGTGTTTGAATTGTTAAAATTTTTGAGAATTTTTAAAAAAGAATCACAGGATGTCATCCCTTTTCCTAAAGATGATTTCTTTGTTAAGTCACACGCACTAAGCATAACCCATGTTCATATATTGGCAAATTGTTGTAGGCTACAGGCGTGTGACTAACTCAGGTGATTGGGAAAAAAGCTGAAAAACAATGTTTCGAATCCAATGAGCTCTAACCCCATAAGAATAACCACTATTTCTAACATTTTTAAATTATTTACATGATCTAAAAGTTAAAACAACTAAATTAGTATATATAATGAATTTATGATTTTCTAGAGTGCTCAACAAAAATAACCACTCAATTAGACTCACTGAATGAATTAGTTAAAATTAAGCTTATTTTCAAGAAAAAGGTTCTAGTTGACTCAAGTAGCCTCTATTAATTTAGTAAAACGAGCTGGTGAGACAAAAAATTAACTGATAGTTATTCTTCCACGTAATCATCACATTACTAGAACAACAGATGAAGACGGTCACAAAACAATTCTCCATAAGATAAGATTGTCATTGGAGCGAACTACTAAGTTGGCTTGTCAGCCTGACTTGTTGGTGTGCCAAGGGTTAACCTGCCGAACTACTTGGTGAGCTTGCTCGTCGAATTGATATGCTCATTTCATTGACAAACTGACCTATCAAACTCACTAGCCTAGTTTACCTCCTTAACGATCCTCAAGACTATCAAAACTCAAAATTCAAGACCGACAACAATGATTGACATATGTCATATCTTCATTTATTAATCGCATGACACATCGCAACATTTTCATTAAAACACAATTGACATATTTTTAGGAGATGGTTTGTATTTTAATATTTTTTTTAAACATGTATAATAGGGGTGAGGAAAGGACCGGAGAAGGATTGACTCTCCGTGCCTTTTTCGATCTGACTTGTTGGTGTCCCAAATATCTGACATTAGCTATTGGATTAACCTGTCGAACAACTTGGCGTCGAATTGATCTGCTCATTTCATTGACCAACTGACCTATCAAACACACTAGCCTAGCTTGCCTCCTTGGCAATCCTCTGGACTATTATAACTCAAAATTCAAGACTGACATCAAAGATTGACATATGTCTTATCTTCATTTATTAGTCGTCTGACATAAACGTCGCGACATTTTCATCAAAACACAGTTGACATATTTTGTACGACATGGTTCGTATTTTAATATTTTTTTAAACATGCATAAAAGGGGGAAGGAAAGGATTGGAGAAGGATTGACTCTCCGGGCCTTTTTTGATGGATTCTATGCCTTGACTCTCGCAGAATCTTTTTTGTCCCGCTCTTCTCATCATATCATTTTCTCCACTCCGCCAGAAGATGATCGAAAAATAGGACATGAAATTACGTCTGGAGAATACATCAATCCTCTTTCTCTATCTTCCTCGCACAAGTTTCTCCGGGTTTGTGTAAACTCACGAACAACACAAAATTCGGTGTCCTTCATGTTCATCAACCATTGGCAAGTGCAGTTTAAAGCTTCCCTTTAAGTGTTTTTTTATTCATTCAAATCACCTATTTTTGTGATTCAGATTATTAGAAAGCGGAGTAGAAGAAAAAACATGAGCAAATGAAGCCTTAGACAAATACAAACAGTAAACATGAGGACAAAAAGCTCCACAAATATCAGCTTTCAGACCTTTAATCAACCCAACCAGACATAAGCACAACGAAAAAGAAAAATGTACCTGGCTTGAAGAAAACGGACAGACCAAAATCGATTGTTCTCAGTGGCGAGTCCTCCTTATGGTTTACGAATAGAAAATTCTCAGGCTTTAGATCCCTATGCATGACACCCATCGAATGGCACTCCTCTATGACCCCAACAATTACCCTCGTGATACCCGCTGCCGCCTTCTCCGAGAAATGCCCCCTCTGAATAATCCTATCAAATAGTTCTCCCCCGACACACAGCTCCATCACAACATGCACGGCTACAGCGTCCTCATAAGCACCAATAATAGAAATCACATTGGGATGCCCAGCCAAATGATGCATTATCTGAATCTCTCGCCTCACATCATCGACATCCTCCTGCGTGACTAGCTTCCTCTTAGCGATCGACTTGCAGGCGAACTCCTTCCCCGTCGCCTTCTCAATGCATAAATAGGTCGTTCCAAACTGCCCTTGACCAAGCTTCCGGCCGAGACTGTACATGTCCTTGAGGCGCCCGGTTTTCCTCTGGAGGACAGAATCAGCCATGAGGCCGGCGCTGGATGCCCGCTTTAGAAGCGCGGGCTTCTTCGAGACAGGGGAACTCTCGGACACTCCCTGTCGTGGAGACGACGGCTCGGCCGATGAAGCATCGTTAGGAACCTCGACGGCCTCCAGTTGGTTCTCAGCAACAGAGGAGCTCGCAATGGCCGTGGAATTATCAGGGGTAGGAGGAGTTGCGGGAGGTGGAGGAACGTCGGCGTCGGCTGAGCCGGCGTAACCGCGGCCCATGACGGCCGCAGAGACGGATTGAATGAAGCCATGGCGGCCATTGGCACAGTAATTCCCCATCAGGATCAGATATTGGTGAACCCGGTGGACGGATCAGATCTCCGGCGATCGCCGGAAACCTAAAAAAGGCGTAGACGGCTGAGGGGAGGATCGCATCGGCCTCAAATTACGAACCGGAGTACCCTGTTGCGGATATTTGCTACAGGATCTAGTGAATGTCATCGAATTAAATGGCCTCATTTATTGGCCAATGATTTCAAGCCACGTCATGTAAATGCAGAAGAGTCGACGCCGTCGTAGCCTGAACTTCTCTATTTAAATGAATTTACTTAAATTTCAGAAAATCTAATTTATTATAACGAAATTTATTTTCAATTCAATTAATTATTATAAATAATCATAAGAAATTAATCGAGATAAATAAGAAAAAAGAGAGATTTTAATTATTTGTTATAATTATTAATATTTTAAAATATGTCAACTCCGACGTTGATAAGATTCATGAGTTATTTATCTAATCCTATCCAACTCATTAACCAATTTGACTTAATTACATTAACAATTTAAAAAATGGAGAATCTCTGAAACAGCCTTTAATGTGCTGAGACCACAACATAAGCATTATTTTGTTATAATAATACTCAACCATAATTACATATCTAGCACCACAAATACTATTATTTACAAAAATTAGTGTCAAGTGTCGTTGCTGAACTAACAAATTGATCAAATCATTAAGAATTTGATAAAAATAAAAAATATAAATTTAAAAATTGAATGAATGAGGGTGTTAGATTTGTAAATAGTAATGTTTCGGGTGCTATGTGTGTGTGTGTGTATATATATATATATATA